ATTCTAATAAATTCAGTTTCATACTTTTATTTTCTATGTGCGATCTCGTTAAACTCGCGAGATCTCGCTCATTTTTCGGCCGAGATCAATCTCGCTAAAAAAGGCCGAGATCTCGCGGAAACGAGATCTCGCGAGAACGAGATTGCATTCCCTAGTCGCAAACAAATAAAAATGGGTTCGAAATTTCCATGCATAGGTTGTATCGAAAATAATTGACTTTTTTGTCCTACAAATATGATCTTTAATAATTTAGCGTGTGTCTTACCCTTGTTTTTCTATGTCCTTGCGTTCTACCTGCCACCACAAACCACACCGTGACTAAACTGATTGGATAAGGCACCTCAGAGCAACTGGCGTGAGATATTTTGATGGTGTACCTAGATCCTTGTGCGTGAGTGCCGCAGCGTGCCGTAGTTCAAATACCACCACAGACTAATGTAGTCTGTCTACAGTAGTAGCACGACTGCAGCGACCCCTTCACTTTAGTTCAGAGGAAATAGGTAGTGTGGGTAGGCCACGCAAACATTCGTATATACGAATAATAATATATATTATATTATAATATCATTGTTTTTAGATAATATGTATATGCCTTTTAGCGAGGTAGGGTAGGTAATAAGAAACCCATGGCGTTCAAAATAAATGTGTTGTATACAGGGTTCCCACGTGTCCTGGAAAACCTGGAAAACCTGGAATTTGTAAAAAAATATTCAGTACTGGAATTAACCTGGAATTTTATAAAAAAAAATGTGTTTTTCCTTGATTTTTTTAAGGAACCTGGAATTACAAACATAACAATTCTATTTGAACTTAGCGTTAAAGAAACGAACTGTAAAATATTAAAAAATGCTTACTCCAATTGCCGCTAGTGGTGTTTTTAAACAGCGCGCTGTTGACTAGCTTCATTAGAGTACCGAGAGGTGACGCCACTAGCGGCGTGCCATAACAAAATTATTTTTTAGTCATAGATTATAAACCCCGATTACCGAAAAAAAAAACAATATTTAATTGCAGTAAGATTGGAAGATTAATAGTTTGCAGGTACATTTTAATATTTATACAATATTGTTTTCGGTTTAATTAGTTTATTAAACTCTTTTAAATCGGCTAGTGATGTTGACAACATTTAAAACCATTAAGCATGGAATGGTTTTAACCACATATAACATACATATAAGATCATGGTTTTTAACCCTTAACTACATACATCCTAATGTAGGAACTTTATAAAAGACCCCCGGTATTTATTATAAATATAGTATAAATATATAATATGTATATAGGTATATAAAGTAAGTAAGTAAGTAAGTAATAGTATGGTGGATTTAAGCTTGATTTATAGATTTTCATCCTGTACGGGAATCTATAAACAGCACAACGGTTTTTGTATTGTTCATCTTTTACGGGAGAAAGGGAGGAAAGAAGGAAGGCAATATATAAATTAGGCTTTATGCAGCACACATTAAAATTAATTTAACATTAACATAAAGTTTACATTAAGCTAATTTAAGGTGGGTATTTTATGCAGCAAAATTAGTGGCAAGTTAATCGTGCGTATAAGCATAGATTATATAAGTTAAGTATAAGTTTAAGTAATTTTGACATCTGACATTTTTGGTTTTTTGGATTTTGTTTTAACCCCGTCTTAGCATCTGTTAGGTAAAATGAATGAAAACTAAGTATAAACCACTATGTTCTATAAACTGCACCTTAAACAATAAACCAAAGAACACAATCGTTGAATAAAAAATGAATCATTCAGCAGCAAGTTTCATTTTATTTTCGGGTATGTTGGCATTACTGACACGGTTTATTTAAAAATTGCGCCGCAACCTGCGCTGGAGGAATAAAAATTAACATTATCATCTCAACTTAATAATAATGTTAATGTGTTGAATAAAAGCTTTCAATGGATTACGTTTATTTAACTTCTTGATAGTCTTAATGTTATTTTTCATAATTCAGAAACCAGTTTTATTATAAAATAAAAAATATATACCTAAATACTTACTTATTTTTTACAGATTGCGATTTATTACTATTAAGTAGTTTTCACAAAACTTTGGTTGATAATTATTTTAAGTGCAAAAAATTAACATAGACGCGTCTATACGCGTATAGTGTCCAAAATCGCAAAATTGTAACCATATACTGGCAAAAAAATAAACTCAATTTTTTTGGGAGAAAGTTTGTTTTAATAAAATTATATTTTTAAAATTAAAAAATGTCCTTGATTTGTTTTAAATGTCATGGAATTGTCCTGGCAAAAACCTGGAAAAAATTAATGGAAAGTTCGTGGGAACCCTGGTATAGCACTAATTCGTTTTTATTTTATAATGGCTTCCCCGGAACTATATTACACACCTTGGCGCACAAATATTTGCGAATTGCCGCGCCAACATTTGTGTTCACTCCCGCGGATTGCCAGCGCGCGCTCACTCTGCCACAACTACTACACAATAACATTGTGTATGTCAACATTGATTATTCCGATATCGAGGGACATGTCGCACAGGGCCGTAAAAGAAATTACATCACAAACCACTTGTCGGCAAATTTTTTGCAACTCCTGTGTGCCTTGAGTGTTGGCGTCAAAAGTTCTCTTTTGGAGAATGCCCATTTGCAGTTTATTTACCACAATGATGTGGTGCAGCGCGTGTCGTTCTCAGTGAGCATAGGCACTATCAAAAAATCTTTCGCCTCATATATCCTCTACTATTTGTGGTCGGACATTGTCCGAAATCCGCGACCCGTCCAAATGTTCCTCGGTGCAAATAGTCTTTTGCGGCCCGATCAAAAGCTCAACGAGCTCAAAACCTGTTGATCGGTAATTTTGCAACAAAAAACCCTAGCTTGGTCTATGGATTGTAATAATGCGGAATTCGAGGCATACATTAATATGTTGCTACGCGAATGGATAGTGATAGTGACATTATTCGTGAAAGATCCACAAAGCGTCCTGAATCCCGAAAAACCCGCCACCAACCTTCTCGTGTCGCATCAGTGGCTCGATTCGAGTACTTATCGACGCCGGCCGATAACAAGTGCCGCCGCGCCCGAGGATAATCGATATATGTTGGAAACGAAAAAAACTATGCCCAGTCTCTGCGATTTTTTGCAGCTGGAACTTTTGTACGATCGATATTGGTGCAATCCGGAGAATCGTCGCGAAAACACATTACACGTGCCGTTTCTGCAGCACCGACATAATGGGGTAGTTAAATTTTTTCTGACCTATACTTTTTATGGTTTTATTCAAGGCGTTTTGTAATATTAAACATTTCTGTGAAATCAGAATTTCAATTGAGTTTACCGTTTTCGAGATATTTACAAAAAATATAAATTTTTATGACGTCACAAACCTCGCCATGTGACCAACATTCTAAGATTTCTATTGGTTGAAAATTACCCTGTTGTCAAGTTGTCTTGTCTAATGATTTCATTCGGTTATGTCAGAAAATACCCGAAGAGGTTATGTACAAATACTGTCACTGTCAGTTGAGTGAAAGATGGTCACCAAATTCATTAAGTACCTATCTTCCTTATTACGAGGTATCATATTACAGTTTGATATTTTAGAGTCCAAGATATATCTAAAAGAATATAAAGAACTAGGCATTATACTAATGAAATGCATTTACGACAAAATATGATTATAATTATAGGTACTTACTTTATTTGTTTAAAAGCTCCAATGTTCAATGTAACCAACCATTCCACAAGATTCCTCTGCTTTGGAGTCCGTTATTAATAAATCACTTATCCAATATCAATTACAAATAACATAACAATAACATTGATTTTCAATAATCTAAATTTAAAAAAAACATAACCCGAAAAAAAGAAACGTCTAAAAATCAATTCTTCTTCTTCTTCTCAACTAAAATTATAGATCAAGTTGTTTTAAAACTAAAATATTATAACGTGACGCCATCTATCGTAAGAATCTTAAACTAAACACACTGGCAACCATAGAAAAAGCTGGCAACGTTGTCAATAGCCTAGTGACGTAATTAGGAGATTTTTTTTGTAAATATCTCGAAAACGGTAAATTCAATTGAAATTCCGATTTCACAGAAATGTTTAAAATTACAAAACGCCTTGAATAAAAAGTATAGGTCAGAAAAAATTTAACTACCCCATTGTGGGCACCCGAAAATTTTTTGCGCCGCCCTTAATGCATCACACGTGCTGAACATGCATCACACGTGCTGAACATTCAGTTGTACGTTGAGATGTAAGTACTATTTTGGACTATGGCTACACAGATAATATCGTATGTTTGTGATTTCGTTCAGTTGGCGCTAGCGCGACGCCCGCAGATCAGCGTATATATATATATATATATTTTCTCTAATTAATCCGTATAGTACACAAACTGTAGGCACTGTAACTGCTTTCTACAAAACAATTTTTGGGGACCGTCCTCAAAGTATACAGAAGTCCCCAAAGTATGCGTTATACCAGTAAAAAGTCTGGAAAAATATGCTATATCTATATCTTTTTTTACCTGCGTGCGGAAATTTTTTACAAAAGTCAGTGTCAATTAATTTTTAAGAAAATAAAGAACCACCGTGTAATCGTCATAGTAATGATAAATCCTAGTAGGATTATCAATTTTCTCCACAGACTGAGCCACTATATATATATATAAATATATATATATATATATATATATATATATATATATTTGGCCAGCATACAAAGTGAGGACTTGTCTTAGCACGTACATTATGAGGACCGGTAGAAGGAGTCAAAATAGAAACACAATTAATATCAAGTGACGCTTAATATTAAATTATAAATGATAAATTGACGAATATACACGTAAAATTTAAATTTAAATATTTTTGAGTATATCAAAACAAAGTGAGGACCGTATAGCTGTCTATTTAAGTGAGCACCGTTTATAATTTTCCATACTACCCACTTTGTGAGGTCCATAATGGACAATTATTGTGCGTTTGTTTTAACTCAAACGAGTCTCATATATGATATAGATAACCACTGCGATTTTTTCCCCGACAGTTTGCAACAGTTTTTCCCTGACGGTTGGCAGCACTACACAGAAATTTACCGCCAATTCGATCTGTCAAGAACATTCGACATATAGGTTACCGAGTTTCGTTTTTTGCGGATTCATAATTAAGTTCGATTTGTTTGAAGAATTAGTTTTTTGTGTCTCAAGTGTAAGGTAAGTTTTCTATATAAAATTATATTTAAATTAAATACCCATGTATGTATAATTTTTAGAATGGATAGAAAATCGATCATTTTGAAAAATGCCCTTATTTTAACGTACTTAAACATTCCAAAATACGAAAGTACCAAAGGGTTAAGAGTAAGCGAAATTGATATTCTTCTTTTAAGTAAGTGATGGTTTAAATATATTATTTAATTGCATTGATTTATAAATATAAAGAATATGCCTACCTACCAGGAAACTCAAAACAGTCTCTAATCATATTTATTACATCTATTATTAATTATTTCTAAGTATTACTCTTTTGTACCCTTTTATTTTATTAGTAATAATAGTTATTTATTGTATTAGTGTCTTTTAACTAATACCTAAGTTATGAAGCACAATATAAAATTATACTGACTGTGATCGAGACTGTGTTACATTATAGATAAACAAGACATTTTTATTAAATCTTATCCTAATTACTAAATTTTTTAGATTGCCATAAATTATTTATTGAAAATAAGAATAAAACTGTGGAAATAAATAATTATTTCACTGATAATAAAACTGATAATTTATTTAATAAGGAGCCTATTATAAAAAACAAAGTAAAAGATGTATATAGGGATTTAATTAAGGAACACGATAGTCCAACTAACACTTTATTTCAAAATAATTCTTTAAAAGCAAGTTTCTATGAGGACAGTGGCAATGATTTTATTTCAGAATCAGAATATTTGACAAGTAGTGTTACAGATGATCTATCTTCTGACATAAGTGAAGAAAAAAAGGTAATATTTTTTAAAGTTAAATTAAATTAAAAAATTGTGTTTTTTTTTATAGATCCAAAGTTTTGACTATCAAGCTTTTTCCAAAGGAATATATTTAAATAATAAAAAAGACATTAAAAACAGAAATAAAATAAATGAATCTGGCGAATTAATTTTTAAGAGTAATAATTCAACTGACAATTTATTTGAAAATAAATATTTAAAACCAAGTTTCTATGAGAACAGTGATTATATTTTAGAATCAAAATATTTAACAAGTAGTGTCACAGATGATGATGTATCTTCTGTTATAAGTGAAGAAATAAAGGTAATGTTTCTTTAAAGTTAATTAATTCAAATTAAACAATTATGTTTTATTTTATAGATCCAAAGTTTTGACTATGAAGCTGTTTCCAAAACAATATATTTAAATAATAAAAAAGAAACTAAAAACAGAAATAATACAAATAAATCTAGCAAATTAATTTCCAAGAATAATAATTCCATTGACAATTTATTTGACAAAGATTTAAGTAAAAATTTATCTGAGTCTTCAGAATCCAGTTTGTATGAAGACAGTGGCGATGATTATATTCCAGAATCAGAATATTTAACAAGCAGTGATTCAGATAATTTATCTCCTGATGGCTTCGATGAAGAAATAAAGGTAATGTTTCTTAAAGTTAAATAAAACAAAATTAAAATGTGTTATTTTCTATAGATTAATAATTTTAACGTTGTTTCTGAAGCAATATATATAGATAAAACTAAAGACAGATTAAATGAAGTTAAAAAAAAGTTTGAGAAAAGGGTAAGTTGGATAACAACATAAATATTATTACTTTTATATCATGTGTGGAAAAATTTTCTTAGTTCAAACATTATAAACCTATCTGAAAAATTTTGTATAATAAATAATTTTATTTAGTTTCACAAAATGTCACAAGAATACAATAAAAGTAAATATTGCAAGGAATTTAAATTTAGAAAAACGAATGTCCTGGTTTATATTGTGATGGTTATGCAAACCTTAAATCTGTCAAAATAAAACTTAATAGTATTTTATTATAGGAAAGATAATGCAGGGTATTATTAACGAGGATTAAGTTTGCGTCTCGAGTCGCCAGACGAGAGAATCAAATCATCCTAGTAAATCATACTGTACTCCAATAAGTATATAATTAAATGATTTTCAAAAAAATTATTAAAATTTGACATTTGGCATGTTATGCAATAGGAGTAGAAAAATATTTTATTCCATATGATTTTAAGTTATTTAAAACAAGAAAAATACAAAGTAAACAAAATCAACACTTAAAACAATGATTTTTTGCCTTTTAAAATACATTTTGGTGAACCCTTAAAGGAAGCACTTTTTATAATAATTATTGTGTACTTTTTGAAAGTCTTTTTTATGAGTTGTTTTTTTTTATTTTTTGGATTTCTTGAACCTTTACTCCTTCAAAACAAGTTTTTAAAATTTTGGATTCATAATTGTTTTTTATGATGTATTGCTCCTCTAAAGCACTTTTTAAAGATATTTGACTTCATTCCATAATAGACCAGGGTCGATAATTTTTTTTGAAACCAAAAAAAATAACAGTAGGATGAAACCCATTGGAAAAGGAGAAGAATATAATAAAAATGAAAGGAAAAATAAATTACGGGCGATCTGACTTCGGGAAGTGGGAGGGGGGGTTTTAAGGGTAAAAAATGGTTTATCTCGATTTCCGGCAAAACTACAAGTCCTATGGAAAAAAGTTAAATGGCAAAGTTGTAGGTAATAAAAGGATCTACAACTTTTGTTATTACAATTTTTTTACATAACCTTCTTTATGTGAAAAATTCAAAAAACCAAGTTTTTGGTTTTTTATTTTTATCTTTTTCAAAAAAAAAATTTTTTCACGAAATTTGGTGAAAACTTACCTTTTTATGTCCCAAATACACTGTAATTTATTTGATTTGAAATATTTATTATTTCGCCGTATTTTGACTTAATATCAAAAAAGCACCCTAATTTTCAATCGAAAATTCTCGCGTCAAAATATCAGCTTTTTTTAAAAAAGATAAAAATAAAAAACCAAAAACTTGGTTTTTTGAATTTTTCACATAAATTTTGAGGTTACTTATGTAAAAAATTATAAATACAAAAGTTGTAGGTAGATCTTTTTATTACCTACAACTTTGACATTTAACTTTTTTCCATACGACTTGTAGTTTTGCCGGAAATCGAGATAAACCATTTTTTACCCTTAAAACCACCCCCCTCCCACTTCCCGAACTCAGATCGCCCGTAATTTATTTTTCCTTTAATTTTTATTATATTCCCCTCCTTTTCCAATGGGTTTTATCCTACTGTTATTTTTTTTCTCTTTTTACCATTTTTAAAGGCTTCTGCACTGGTCTATAATATAAACACGTTTAAAGCATATTTATTTAGGACCATTTTAATATTTTCTTGTAATATTCTATTGTAAAGTGGTCTTCTAATATTTTGGGAAAGGTAACCTTAATATTAATTTTAAAATTGTCAAATTTAAGTTATTTTTTTATTAGATTGATAAAGACATCCAAAGTAATGTTGAAAATGAAGTTGCAAATAAAAAAAATGAAAATGATTTAATTCCAATTGGGTCTAAAGTGAATTATTCAAAAAAGAAGCGAGTGTGGGATAAAAAAGATTATTGTATTTTTTGTGACACTGAAGTTATAAAGATTATATGTTAAGACATCATAAGGATGAGATACAAATTCAAGAAATTTTAGCAATAAAAGTAGGTGATAAACGAAGAAAATTTCTTTTTAATAAACTTAGAAATGAAGGGAACTTTCTAAAAGGTACTACTGAAGAAAATATTGTTCCAGTAAGAAAGCTGACTGGGTTCAACTCTGAGTTACCAAGTTCATTATCACATCTTCCGTGCAAATATTGCAGGGGATTTTACAAAAAAGAATATCTTTACAAACATGTTAAGACATGTCCTCACAATTATGATGATAAATCCACAAAATGCAACGCACAATCTGAAGGTCAATCATTGTTTTCTGCTTATGTAAAAGATGACATATTGCGTAAAGAAGTATTCCCAACAATGAGAGCAGATTCAATTTCGTTTGCAGCTAAAACAGATTCTTTAATATGTGCTGTGGCCAGAAGATATTTACGAAGTCATCGTGAGAAACAATTCCGGTTGGTTGCTTCAAGAAAAATGCGACAATTAGCTACCTTGCTCATAGAACTAAAAAAAAAAATAAATGTTAAAAACTTGATGGAAGCACTAGATCCATTAAATTTTGATCAAATTGTGGAGTGTACGAAAATAATTTCTAAATTTGATTCGGAAACTGAAACGTATGGAGCTCCATCATTAGCAAGTAACATGGCTACTCTGATAAAAGATAGTATTGATGTTGCCTATACATTAATACTTAAAAAAAATCGTGGTGAATCTCCCAAAACCAACAGATTAAAAACTCTAAAAGATATTATCACAAGTGAGTGGCGTTATGAGATCTCAACCATAGCCAATAATGATCTACAACAAAAGAAATGGAATAAGCCCTCACTCATACCACTAGCGGAGGACCTTACTTTATTAAAGACATATTTGCTAAGAGAAAGTGAAAAATTAAAAAAAGATTTACAGCTAAATTCACATAATGAACGAGCATTTAAAACATTGCAAGAAATTTCATATGTTCAGCTACTTTTACTCAATAGAAGAAGAATTGGAGAATTACAGAGAATGACTGTAATGTCATATACTTCTAATATAAATACCCATAATTCTACTGAATTTGATAACTGCATTACAGAAAGTGAAAAAGTTTTAATGAAGTCTTTTAAAAGAGTGGTAATAAGAGGAAAAAGAGGTCGAGGTGTTCCGGTTTTATTTACAGAGGAAATGGTAAAAACTATTAACTTATTATTAAAAGTAAGGGAAAATTTTGTAAGACAAAAAAACGTTTACTTGTTTGCAAACACTAAAACATCAAGCTCCATTACTGGAAGTAAAGCTATTTATATGCATGTCAGGCTTGCTGGCGTAAAAAATCCAGCAGCTCTAACATCTACAAAGTTACGAAAGCATCTTGCTACAATGTCGCAAGTTATCAATTTGTCAGAACAGGATTTAGAACAGTTGGCCAATTTTATGGGACACACTTCTGAAATACATAAATCTTATTATAGACTTCCCAATGATGTATACCAAATGGCCAAAGTGTTTCGTCTTCGCGAAATATTTGATATTTGTTTAATTTTATTACATTTATTTAAATATTATATTTAGCTTATTGCCCCCCAACGCGCATGTTTATTGCAATTATTTTAATTACCTGTTTGACCGCGTGAGGGCGTAAGTGTAATTAATGAATAAGAGTCCGAACGGCGAGCATCCCCGCGCAAGAGTGATCTACCACGCGACATTATACCCGCTTTATCCCGCTTAATCCCGCTTTATCCCGCTTGTGCATCTCAACCGCTTGAAACCAACGCTGACAGCCAGAAACCAGACCAGGGCCCTGAGTGTCGTCATCATCACCAGCCACAAGGTAGGACTTTATTAATATTCTTACTGCCCACGTTTTATCTAGTCAAAGAATTCAGTCAACTAACACCACCATCCCCTATTTCTCACATTCATACAGTCCACTGCCTACCATTTTGGTCCTTCGAGTATTTTTTTTGAGCCGATGGGGTGTTTGTTGACCTAAAAATCCTTTTTAAATTATTCGCCTGGGTTCCGGCAATAAGCGCCATTTTGTTCATTCATAATTTTGTAGAACGAGACATTCGTTCGGCCCTTGACCTTGAAATTTATTTTACGCTCACAGCTGATTTAAATTGCAATACCTTGATAATTTGATTTAAGTTAATAATTTTATTATTTAAGGTTGTGTTTATTTATTAAATAGAAATTACTTATTTAATAATTGTGACAAGGCTTGGACTCCACAATTTGCATTACATATTTGTACTAGGAAGTATACGGAAAATCATAAATTTTTCCAAAATTTGTTTTGATCGCTTTACGCCAATAATTTTCATTCATTCGCAGAGCGCACCTCGCTGCAGTCGCTGAATATTTAAATATCACCGCATTAATTGTTGACATCGCACCGCATAATATTATTTGTTTACATTCGTTTTTTTACCCGCATTTTTATAAAATTTATATTTAATATAAATTTAATCGCTTTCGGATATTTTATAAATTACTTAAAATATACCAATATAAAAAATAAATACCGCGTAATAAAATATTGTTTATTTTTCTCGTTTTTTGGGGGGGAATAAACTACGCTATCGCTTCGATTAGTTTTATTAAAATATTTTTTAAGCTAATTTAAAATGACAGATACAACCGCTACGGCTACCGTTGCCGTTACTAGAGTAAATACCGCCATTGCACAGCGTGACAGTGTTGTCATTCGAATGAAATCAATATTTGAAGCAGCCGAATCCGCTGAAGACAGTGACGTTAAACGTCGTGGTTTTAAAGTAAGATATGTGCAAGTAAAAACCTTGTATCAAACATTTTTTAAACAACATAGTATTATTCTCGCTCATTTGGCCAATACTGCGGGTTCAGACTTAGAATCACATCATAAAATTTGCAACGAATTCGAGGAAATGTACTACTATATACAGGGTGTCTTTTCAAATTACGAACCGGACACCTCCGCTAATGATTCTTTTGCTTCGCAAACCAACACAAATGTAACTCCGAATATATCAAGCCATATAAGGCTTCCGCGCATAGAGTTACCAAAATTTTCAGGCGAAATTCGGGAATGGAAAACTTTTATTGATATGTTTATAGCAATGGTTCATGACAACGCCTCGTTAAGTAATGTTGAAAAATTTAACTACCTTCGTGCGTCGTTAGTGGGTTCTCCGTTGGCTATTGTTACCCAGCTTCCGTTAACTGGGGCCAACTACAAGATTGCCTATGCTGCCTTGTTAAAACGATACGAAAACAGGCGGATTCTTGCCACCGCACACTGGCGAGCCATTGAAAACGCAAATAAAATTCCTGAAAATTGTTCATCTCCCGAAACGATCCGCCAACTTATTAGTACATTTACAGAAAACATTGCCGCGTTAAAAAATTTAAAATTTCCAACCGCGAAATGGGACTTTATTTTATTTCAAATGTTGTTAAGCCGCTTAGATACCGCCACATCCACACGTTTTGAGCTGGAGCAAGGGGATAGTGTCGAACAATCCCTAGTTTTGAGGAACTAGAGGAGTTCCTTACCAAACAATGTACCGCCTATGAGGCAGTTGCCTTCAGCGCTCCCTCTGCGCCAAAAAGAACTCCGCAAACTCCTAAATCTTTACCGCCACAAAATAATAGTTTTTCCAAACCGCGTCAAACAAATAGTTACCTAAATAATGTCGCTACCAATTTATGTCCGCTATGCAATGTTGATCATTTGCTTTACAAATGTCCCAAATTCTTGGAAAAAACGCCACGTGATAGGTTTGAACTTATAAAGACACGCAAATGGTGTGTCAATTGTTTAAGTTCGAAACATACATTGTTTGCTTGCCGATCTGAAAATGTTTGCCGTACATGTAGCAAGAGACACCACTCGCTTATTCATTTTACAGAAAATATTAATTCTAATCCCGCATCTTCGCAATCGCACGCTATCGCATCTACCTCCGCTACGCTCTTGTCTAATTCTAACGCTTCGCACTCTATTTTACTCGCAACCGCTGTCGCTGAAATATTAGATTCGCGCAATAAATATCAAAAAATTCGCATTTTACTTGATTCCGCAAGTCAGTGTAACATAATTACACAATCATGCGCAACTAAACTCGGTCTCCGATCTACTAAATCGCCGTTGTCCATTAAAGGCCTGGGTTCCATGAATGTCTCCGCCACACTTTCCGCAGAATGTCATATTCGCCCCGCAAATAATAAAAATTCGAATTTAGACTTTGATGCCATAATTTTACCGCAAATTTGTAACCACATGCCAACTTCTGTCATTATGGCAGATTGGCCACACATTTCAAATTTAAAACTCGCTGATCCGCAATTTTGTTCACCCGGAGATATTGACATGCTGTTAGGTGCTGAGATTTTCCCATACATTTTATTACCAGGTCGCGTTCAGGGTTCCAAACATCATCCCGTCGCGCTAAACACCATTTTTGGCTGGGTTCTCATGGGAAAAATTGGCAGCTTACCTGCTCCTCAAGTTAACAATTTCTTAACGATTTCCAATGACGAACTTAATAATACGCTTAAAATGTTTTGGCATGTTGAAGAGGTACCCAAAACCTTGGCCATTTCCCATGATGACAAACTTTGTGAAACGACTTTTGCCAAAACACATACTCGCAATACCGCCGGGCGCTACTGTGTTACGTTACCTTTTAAAAATACGGCTCCGCAATTTAATAATTCTCGCTTTCCCGCCTTAAAATGTTTTTACAACTTAGAACGCAAACTTGCCGCAAACCCCGATTTATACGCACAGTATTCAGACTTTATGCGTGAGTACCTGTCAGAAGGGCATATGGAGGAACTAAAAAATATTTACCCCAATGAAAACGCATATTACATTCCTCATCATGCCGTCGTGACATCTAAGCTACGTGTCGTGTTTAATGCTTCCTTTAGAACCGCGAACAATTTATCGCTTAACGATGCTCTTTTGATTGGCCCAAAATTGCAGCAAGACCTCCTGTCAATTTTACTTAATTTTCGCTTAAATCGAATCGCTTTTACCGCCGATATTCGCCAAATGTACCGTCAAATCGAAGTTACGAAAAGTCATCAAGATTTTCAAAGAATTTTGTGGCGCTTCTCGCCTACGGATCCCGTTTCTACCTATCGCTTGTTAACTGTAACGTACGGGGTAAATTCTAGCCCATTTTTGGCTATTCGCACTATCCAGCAGTTAGCTAATGACGAAGGCAGGGATTTTCCGCGCGCCGCCCATGTTCTAAATAATGACATGTACGTCGACGATATTGTGTCTGGCGGATCCACGTTGGATGACGCTAAAAATCTACAGAACGATTTAATAAGTATTTTAGGCAACGGAGGTTTTGAACTGCGAAAATGGGCAAGTAACTGTCCTGCGTTACTCGCACACCTACCGGAATCGCATAAACAAGTAGGTTCTTGTGATTTTGAACAAGAAACCACGGTAAAAATACTTGGTTTACGGTGGAACTCCGCCACTGATAGTTTTCTATATCAGGTTGAACCGCAACAAAATTCTACTTGTACAAAGCGCACTATTTTATCACAAATCGCACGAATTTTTGACGTTGTTGGCTTTCTTTCTCCCGTCATAATAACCGCTAAATATCTGGTACAACATTTATGGAGCTTAGGGCTTGATTGGGATGAACCACCCCCCGCAGATGTGTTAAATAAATGGCAAACCTTTAAATCTGAATTACCGCTTCTTTCTCATGTTTCTATCCCGCGTTTTGTTGCCGCTTTAACTCAGTCTTGTCAACTACATGGCTTTTGTGATGGTTCAGAAAAAGCCTACGCTGCCGTTGTTTATTTACGCATCTCTCCAAATGATTCTGACCAGGCGCAAGTTTATTTAATATGCGCAAAATCGCGCGTCGCACCGCTTAAACGTCTCTCGGTTCCACGCTTGGAATTATGTGCCGCTGTTTTGTTGGCCGATTTGCTTTATTATGTTTACGAAACTTATAAAAGTAAATTAACATTTGAGAATATTTATGCCTGGTCCGACTCTACAATTGCTTTATCATGGATTAAATCCTCGCCGCACCGTTGGCTTACTTTCGTTGGCAATCGAGTAAGTCATATTCAAAGTAAAGTTGCGCCGGAAAATTGGAGACATGTCTCTACTCTTTGTAACCCAGCAGATTGTGCGAGCCGTGGTGTAATGCCGTCCGAAATCGTTTCACATGCACTGTGGTGGACGGGGCCGCCGTGGCTTCAGCTGCCTGATTCGTCGTGGCCACGTACGTTAAATTCGGTTGATAATACGCTAGCGGTCTGCCAGGAGGAACGCAAACTTACGCTTGCTAATGTTATTGAAACAACTCCTCTTGATAATTTAATACATAAATATTCGTCGCTAAATAAATTACAACGCATCATTGCATATGTTCTCCGCTTTATAAATAATGCAAAACCCGCTCACAAAAAACGCACCGATTTTTTCACTCAAAGTGAATTACATACTTCCTTATTAGTTTTTGTAAAATATGTACAAAAAGTTCACTTTTCTGCCGAAATTTCTGCGCTATTAAAGCATCGCCCTGTATCTAAATACTTACGCAAATTAAATATTTTTCTTGACTCTAACAATATTGTTAGGGTGGGGGGACGGCTTCGACACTCGAATTTGAGTTTTGAACAAAAACATCCCGCGTTATTACCTGGTAACCACCGCTTTGTCAAACTTTTAGTTCAGGAAACGCATAATAAACATTTACATCCAGGTACTCAAACAATGCAGTATTTATTAGCACAGAATTTTTGGATATTGTCTTCAAAACAAGTCATACGCAAAGTAACTTCAAAATGTTTAAGATGCTGGAAACTAAATCCAAAATCTCCGCAACCTCAAATGGGGGATTTGCCACCCCTACGCATCTCGCAATTAAAATGTTTTTCGGTTGTCGGCGTAGACTACGCTGGCCCATTTTCTTTACTAATGAGTAAAAACCGCGGTACTCGAACAATAAAAGGTTATATATGTGTTTTTATATGTTTTGCCACGAAGGCAATTCATTTAGAATTAGCTTCTGACCTATCCAGCGAAGCCTTTCTTGCAGCCTTACGCCGCTTTATTGCACGTCGCGGAAGATGTTCTCAAATATTCAGCGATTGTGGCACCAATTTTGTTGGTGCAAATAAGCAAATTCTTAGTTATTTTAAAACCGCGGCTGCTTCCGAAAGTCTCAAATGGAGTTTTAACCCTCCTTCCGCTCCGCACTTCGGAGGTTTGTGGGAAGCTGGCGTTAAATCGGTCAAAACACATCTTTATAGAGTCATTGGTGAACAAATTCTATCTTATGAAGAATTTTATACTGTGTTAACGCAAATTGAGGCTATCCTTAATAGTAGACCGTTGTGCTCATTTTCCGTAGATCCCAATGATGTTCGAGCCCTTACACCAGGTCATTTTCTGACTCTAGAACCTTTATCATGTCTTCCCGATCCCGATTTACAATCCGTTCCGCTAAACCGCTTATCCCGTTGGCAGCTGTTGCAGCGTATGCACCAGGACTTCTGGGCACGTTGGCATGCAGAATATCTCCACACCTTATCCCAGCGCATAAAATGGACATCCGAGTCTTGTCCCATTAAGGTGGGGTCTGTAGTTCTCCTCAAGAACGAGCTTTCGCCACCCCTTCAATGGCGCCTTGGCCATGTTGAAACGCTTCACCCCGGTAAAGACGGGGTTGTCAGGGTTGTTACAGTGCGAACAAACCTAGGCACCTTTAAGCGACCTGTTGTTAAAGTGTGTCCTTTACCGCAAGCCGATCTTTAATGATTGGCATAACGCCGCCTTTTTTAAGTTTAATTTTGTTTATTTATACCGAGAGGTATTTTCGTTTATTTTAATTTTTGGGCTTACAATTGATCTCGCAAATTTAATTTATTTTTAGGTTTTTTTTTTTTCGCTTAAAACCCATGGTTTTAATGGCCGCCAGAATGTTTCGTCTTCGCGAAATATTTGATATTTGTTTAATTTTATTACATTTATTTAAATATTATATTTAGCTTATTGCCCCCCAACGCGCATGTTTATTGCAATTATTTTAATTACCTGTTTGACCGCGTGAGGGCGTAAGTGTAATTAATGAATAAGAGTCCGAACGGCGAGCATCCCCGCGCAAGAGTGATCTACCACGCGACATTATACCCGCTTTATCCCGCTTAATCCCGCTTTATCCCGCTTGTGCATCTCAACCGCTTGAAACCAACGCTGACAGCCAGAAACCAGACCAGGGCCCTGAGTGTCGTCATCATCACCAGCCACAAGGTAGGACTTTATTAATATTCTTACTGCCCACGTTTTATCTAGTCAAAGAATTCAGTCAACTAACACCACCATCCCCTATTTCTCACATTCATACAGTCCACTGCCTACCACAAAGTGTCAAAATTACTTTTATTAAACGAAAGAGGAGAAGCTTCGAAGTTTAAAGGAAAAAGTTTGGATGAAATTAATATTAATTTAGATATTATAGAAGATGACTCGGAAGATGAAAATGATGAAGATCAAATGAATAACGATATAGTTGAAACACAATCGATTATCCAGTATAATGAAAAGAAAGATGCAGATAAAAATAATAAGGTAAATAAATAAAATAAAGTTGAATTTATTTTTAAAAACATTTAAAAAGAAAATGGTTAAAATTGACCTTTTACCCCTCAATCGTGACAGAAGGGTCATGTGACGAATTATCATTATCATTATGTGTTAGTTTAATACTCTTAAAAATAAATTCAGTCTTGTTTTTATTTAGATTATAATTTATTTTTAAATTATAATAGTATATTATGTATCAATTTTTATAAACGCCATTTTAGTTACGAGTTTAATTAAGCACGAGCGAAGCTTGCGAGCGAGTGTTTAATAAAAACGAGTGCCTAAAGAATTTTATAAACGAGTTGCATACTATACTTCATCACAAAAAATATTTAAAGCCAACTGCCACCCGAATTTAACCTAACTATTTCCCAATTTATAATAAAGCTAACTTCAGCCCGTGACTAAAACGCCAATGTTTTATTTTGTGCATATTAAAATTATGTATCTACTCCCACATTGACAAGCTTTAACTTTATGGTGTTTTAGTTACGGGCTGAAATTAGCAAAAGTGGCTTTTGGACAAAATGCCCAAAATAGATAAGGGCTAAAGTTAGCTTTATTATAAATTGCAAAAAAATTCTTCAGACGTCAAATATTTATGAATTAAAATTGGCATAAAATTCCTATTTCTGTTTGTCATAGATAAAGTATAGTAGGTATGCAACTTGTTTTATAAACTTCTCTAGACACTCGTTTTATTAAACAATCGCTCGCAAGCTTTACTCATGCCTAATAAAACTCGTAACTAAAATGGCGTTTTTAAAACTTAATACACAATATACTATTTTCTTAAATGTTACTTTATATTATAATTATAATTTATTTTTAAATGACTAAAATAATATATCTATTTTTATAGCAAATTTCACAATCTGTACAAAAAAACAAAAAACGAATTCTGGAACCTTGGACAGTGAAGCAAAAAGAGGTTGCTTTGCTTTACTTTAAAACAAATATTAGAAATAAAATTCCTCCCAAAAAGTATGAGTGTCTTCAGTTACAAAATCAAAATCCAGATTTATTTACAAACAAGAGCTGGGAGAAAATAAAATTTTTTATTGTAAATAATTATGTTAAAAAGTAATTAAAACTTAAATTTTCTTTTTTCGGCTTTACCGCGTTGTCCATTTTATTTTTTTTATTTATTCAACTTTTAATGTTTTCAATCACTGCGTTGCTCTTGTTTAACATTTGTTTAGTATGTATTAGTTATACATAATTAATATATTATATTAAAATTTTAGTCTTATAGTTTTAGTATTTTTTCTTTGTAAAGACTTATTTTATATCAAAGTATGGCCGAAATATGTCGCTAGTCAATACAATTTTTTTTAATAAATATAAAAATAAACATTTTTTTTTATTTCAAAAGTAATAATTACTTATATTTTATATTAATATTTTGAGGCAGTAATCGTTAATTTAGATAATGTACACGGAGAAAATAAAACAGTAGCCATTGATGCGCAGAACGCTAATCCTCATTGCCAATGTACTGTTTGAAATCATACAATTTTTAATAAAACCTCACGGGTAACTTTGACAGCAGCAATAGTTAATTTTTGTTACATCAATAAGTGGTGCCAGGAACTATAGTGAGCAATATTCTGTACATTACATAGTTTATTGGGTGGATTATTGTTCTACGCCTTAATGGTTACTGTTTTATTTTCTCCGTGAATGTGACATTTAAAATAAATAATAATAATAAATAATAAATGAACTTTATTGCAAAAAAAAGTTACAATTTCTTACAAATTGACCGAGGTCCTTCAGCCGAAAATATAAAATAAATATTATAATATAAATAATAAAAATAAATATTTTTATGAAAAATATAAAAATAAATATTTTTATGAAAAATCGTTACTTAAATCTTTAGGTTAAAACAGCACAAATCTATCTTTAAATAAAAAATAATTATGTAGACATTTATGGACTATGTCTGTTTTTGTAAGAAGGGCAATATTTGGTTGCTAAAATATTTTGTTTAAAAAATCCAATATATGTATATAATATATATAATGTTGTCAACAATCCATGTTAATCCAGATATTATGAAATAATTTTACAGGTATCATGTTCCAAAAGTCCTACTTTAAGATTTGAATACAAATATTTGCGGTTATCTATATATTAGTTTAGGGCTTATTTCGTTTTTTTTTAATAATACAATATATGTATTTTTTTTGTATAAAGATCTTAATTTATAAGACAAAAAGTACATTTATTGTATTATTTTTAATTATTGTCGTCTATTATAGCGTTAAACTGAGATAAATAACCTTAATAAATTAATTATTCAAATGTCAAGGTGGGATTTTCTGGTGTGGAAGCATAGTAAGTATATTTAAGATTTGAAAAATATTACTAGTAAATTTTAAAGCTAAAAATAGCAATCATTTTACGCACATTGGTAGACACTTATTTTATCAGGCTACAAAATAATTTTGCCATAAATATATTTATTTAATAAATTAAATAATAAAAACTTTGATAATAAAAATTATTAAATCATAAATGTGTATTTGTATACATTTTTTTAACAACATAAAATAAACCATCTAAGAAAACAATATTAGGTATTACACCATCTTGAGGCAGCCTCCATAAAACAAAATATTATATACTTATTTTAAAATAATTATTTTAACATAAATTTAAACAATTTTAACCATTCTGGCATTACTAATACGTGGGACTGTCGTCGATCGAACGGTACACAGCCCCCAACCTCTAAGCCTTTAGACACACAAGCATTTGCAAAGTAATCGGTGTCTGACAGACCACTCCGTAGAGGTTAAAGCAGTTTGCCGCCGGATTACTAATAGATTTAATACAAATTAAAATTATTGTCAACTAAACATTCCTAGCATTTAGAGAGGACCGTTTATAGTTACCAATTGTATGGTCCTCACTTAATGCGTAGAAAGTTGCTTATAGATACCTAATAATATACGTCTTGAAAATATACTCTTCAAGAAGCGCCACCAAGTTGCGATACCAGCGCCATCTAGCGGCGGTTTATGAAACTAAAATGCAAAAAGAGGCCTTTTTTAAGTCTTACTGAAACAACGTTTTACATAACATTGAAGCGTTTCAGCATAAAATTATTGCATTGACAAAGTGAGGACCATATACGGTACTCACTTTGCCATGGACCTCACTTTAATAGTAAATTTCCTTTGAAAGTGGCTCACTTTGTATGCTGGAAGTAAATATATATATATATATATATATATATATATATAAATATATATATATAAATATATAAACTGCTGTTCAAAAGTTAGGGATATTTCAAAATAAATATGTACGCATATATATTTTTTTATTATTGATATATGTACTTACTGGAGAACAAAAAACATTTTCTCCAACACTGTTTTTCAAGAAAACGACAAATTGTTTAATTAATATAGCGTATGTCCTCCTCTCGCATCAATGACGGCTTGGAACCTTCGTGGCATACTTTCCACTAAGTCGTTGATGCGATCTTGGTCAATTTCGTTCCAAAGTTGGGGTAAGAGTTCCCGTAGCTGTTGCATTGTTACCGGATGGGGCTGATGGTTTTCCAAAGCCCTTTGCAGAGCGTCCCAAGCGTGCTCTATTGGATTAAGATCCGGCGATCGTGGGGGTAGTGCTAAATGGGGTATACCATGCAATTCTCTGGCTTCTTCCACGATTGCTGCCCTGTGCGGACGCGCGTTATCGTCCAGAAAAAGAAAATTAGGACCAATAGCAGCATGGAAATTGGGAATCACGTTGTTGATAATGCGTTCCATGTATATTTGACCTGTCATATTCCCAGGGAAAACCAGAAGCTGCGTGCGACCGTTAAAACATATACCACCCCACACCAGAACGGTCCCACCTTTAAATGGGTAAACTTCTTGGACTGGACGACGATTTCTGGGTATTAAAGGAAGTGTCCACACTCGAAATCGACGACTATCCGAATACCGTCCATATCGCGATTCATCCGTAAACAATACAGATCGCCATTCCTGGTTCCAATGAAGCATATCAGTTGCCCACTGTAATCTTGCACGTCTATCATCTGCAGTTAATGGAACCCTTCTTAAAAGACGTCTGGATCTTAGATTAATGTCAAGTAAGCGCCGTCGCACTGTAGATACAGAAACTCTGGTGTCGGTGGCATCCTGAAGTCGTTCACGCAACATTCTGCACGTGCTAAGGGGAGCTCTACGTGCAGAAACGGTAATGAATCGGTCTTCCCGTTGTGTAGTACGGCGAGGTCTACCACTTCGAGGTCTTTCAGACACACTTCCAGTTTCTTGATGTCGATTTTCCAGCCGAGAAATTACGCTTTGGGACACGTTGAAAAAATTAGCGACATCGACTTGTCGCTGACCTGCAATTAGCATTCCAATGGCCTTATTACTGTTTGCAGCACCTAATTTGTTTCGCGGCATAATTAAGACACAATAAGTTGCGTTACAGAACACTGAATGCAAGTTTATTGAAATGCATCGCCAGGTACGATATTGGTATCGGTCAAGAACAACAAAAAAAACCATTTTTTGTAATAAACAAGTGCGCAAAAACTCAAACAATTTGTTACTTCGACAGTTATGAATTGTTTACAGGCAAAAAAATTTCAAACGAAACGATTACTTTTAAATCCCGGCTATATCCCTAACTTTTGAACAGCAGTTTATATATATATATATACCTGCCCATTCTAAAAACAAAATCAAAATCTGCTTGATAAAAGTGAATATTAACATTAAAACCTCCTTAAAAACCACTGAAAAAGTTGCAGAATCTATCTTACACTAATCGAAATGTACACAAAAACACTACCATGTGTCAAATAACTTTAAATATTTGACAAGCAGAGCTTATTTGCAGTTTTGTCACTTTTAAAACATAGTAAAAAGGGTCAGTTATTTTTCTCACTAAATCCATCCAAACTTTAAAATATAAATAAATTGCTACTGTCCCTAATAATTTGGCCACCCATGTAAGATGGATCCTAAATAGGTAACTGTGTCCACATTTATTATTTGTTTTTAAAGAATGTCAAATTAAAAAGTTAAGCTAAACTAAACCTGTTTTAATTAATTTAATAACTCATTTTTGAAATGAAAAACTATCAAGTTTGATATGTTTTAAAATAATAATTGTGATAACTTTCTCAAAATATTTCGCATTTTTTAAGGCCTCATTTGGTTCTGAGAGTGCTTTTTCATTTAATACTGGCTTTTTAAAGAATGATTTCTCAAATTGTTGAGTTAAATGGTTCAAATTGGGAATGTCATTAACTTGGCTTTTAAGAAACATAATTTGCCTTAATATTTCTTTTGTTTAATGAACTAAAAATAACACAGCCCCACAAAAAAATCGATGTTCTGGCCTGGGGATCATGCCATGTTAACTATATGTTTTGGGGTTGCAAAAACCGAATCCGGAGCCCGTTTACCCCCCCCCCCCATTTAAAACCATCACATCAAACTAATAAGCCCTTTTAAACACAAAAAAACGTGTAACCGAAGCTGTTTATCTTCAATAACTTTAAAACCTAATATTTAGAACCCCGTAAATCCATAACTAGATCCCCACCCCAATAACCACATAATCCAAACCCCAATAACTGCATATGTCAAGCCATTGTACTCAACCTATTATCACGCAATTTTAATGTCCAAATAACCCCGTAACCAAAGCTGTTAATCCACAGTAACCCCATAACCCATATTAAACCCCATTAACCCAGAATCGGCGAGTTGTCAGGGTGATTAAGCGGGCCCGCAGGCATCGTCATCATAATACCGCACCGAATCATTATAAGAAAAAGGAATGGCAAACAAAAACGTCGATCGCTACTGGTTCCCAAAAAATTATTCGTGAATCCTTAGTAGATCCATCTAAAATTCTAATACCTCCTCTCCACAAAAAGCTTGGCGTTATGAAACAATTCGTTAAAAGTGTGGATACAACAGGTCATGTTTTCAGTATTTACACACAAAATTTTCGAAAATTTCTGAGGCTAAATTAAAAGAAGGAATGTTTAATGGACCACAAATATGAACAATGTTAAAAGATTATATTTTTATCAGTAAAATTAATGAATTTAAAAAATTAGCTTTGCTCAGTTTCCAAGCAGTGGAAAATGGAAAGAGTCCACAGTATAAAGAAATTGTTGCCAAAATGGTTAAGGACTAACTACTATATTAACATAACATAAATTATGAAACCGAAACTAAACATCCAGTATACGGTATAAATAAATAAAATGCAGATTAATGCTAATACTTCTGAAACAGACAAAATGTGATTACAGGGTCGCTGGTTTACAGTGTGTTTCTACGTTTGTAGCGTGTATTTCTGGGGTACTTTATATTTATTACATAAATACTAACTACCTGTCTCTCAGACCTTCAAATAAAAAAATCGTAACAGCAATATTTTTGATTTTTTTTTTAAGAATATGATTTACCAATGTTTTTCAAGTGTTAATGTAAAGGAATTTTGATGCAAATAAAATTTAATAAATAATTATATGTCCAAAAGATGGTGATTATTAGGGTGGAGCGAAATTTTTTTTTCCTTAGCCTAGGGGTGGAATTTGTAGCCTATAAAAAAAGAAAATTTTTGAAATAAAAAAAAAAATTTTTACTCAACGTCTTGAGGTGGCCCACTGATTTTTTAAATTAAATTTAAGTTAAAATTCTTTTGAATAAAAAAAAATAATTTTTGGCTTGTAATCTTCAAATTTATCTAAAAATAAACAAATTTGATCGTGTTCAACTCGAAATTCGCTCTATTGCCTCAGAAAAGCATGTTACTATTTTGGAATTTTTTTAAAAACAACAATAATGACCACAAATTTAATTACTGTTAATTAGCAAGAAAGAGGACACTCCGCAGTTTCCGGAACACTTTTAAATTTTTTTTTTATTCAAAAGAATTTTAACTTAAATTTAATTTAAAAAATCAGTGGGCCACCTCAAGACGTTGAGTAAAAATTTTTTTTTTTATTTCAAAAATTTTCTTTTTTTATAGGCTACAAATTCCACCCCCAGGCTAAGGAAAAAAATTTTTTTTCTTTTTTTCGCTCCACCCTAGTGATTATGTAATATAATTGTAACTTTTGATATTCTTCAGTAAAACTTCATTAGTGACGTAAAATACTCATTTATTTCTAGAAACTAATACTGGTTAGTACAACATAATAAACAAAAGCGTATAAAAAAAATAAAAGAACTTCAAAACTGTAAAGATGTATAAATCGGCAACCAACAAATGGTCACATATTTCCGGCGCATTCTGGCCAAACTTTTTTAGCACATTCCAGGCAAATTGGAGTCTGGTAGTTAAAACATAGACTGTTCTTCGTTTTAGTTTGTATGGACACAAAGAAAATTTTTTTCTTTTTTCAATTTTTTCTAGTTTTTCCCTAGGTCGTGTTTCCGGTTTACCCACTATGCCTGATATGGTTCGTTTCAGATTTCTGGGTAAGTTGGGAATGGTTAATAAACGATAGAGTTCAGGTGTTACCAACTGAAATGCTAGCTTTTCCAAGAAAGCGGGCCTTTCCAAATGTTTATTGTCTCTATATGACTCATACATAATAAATGCATTGACTGTACTGATATTAAATAATTGATAAAATATGGCCATCGGACAGCGAGAGGTTCTACGACTACATGAAAACTTTGCACATTTTTCGTCAATTGCATTCACACCTCCTTTTGTGGAATTATATTCCATTATAATGTTTGGTTTTTCTGTTACAGGATCATTACCTTCGTGGTGGTGGGAGGGGGATAACAAAATTACGGATTTATTTTTTTTAGTTACATATGAAAGTATGGTAATATCTTTTGTAAAACCGTACAGCGCGCTATCGACTTCTCTTTTTTTATTAGGCAAGAATTGAGGAGGAATCTCTCTTTTATTTTACCTATACAGGTGAGGCCTCTATCCTTTAAAATTTTAACAAGTTTCAATGAGGAAAACCACTTATCAAATGTTACACTTCTATTTTTATGATAGAGTGGCTGGGTTAAACGTAATACTAATTTAGCTGGTTTGCTCAATTTCTTATCTTGTGCAGATAAATGTTTTCCATCTAAATTTTTAGCCATTAAAAGAATGCACAGTGCGCGCATCTGTTCAGCATACAATCTTTAAGCCATTTTCACTGGCTTACTTGGTAGATACATTTTGAACTTACATTTTTCTCGAAAACCGATCAGCATCTCATCGATGCAGGCAGAATTTCCTGACGCATACGAAGTCTAGCAATTTTTGACAAATATTTATGTAATCGGTGCAGCTGGATCTGGGAGCAAAATTCTGTCTTCAGGATTATCAAACCTATGACATATTAAAAGGAAAGAAAACCTTTCTTTTGACATGATACACCGTATTATTTCCCTTCCAGTACCATTAGTAGCAAATAAAGTATTTATACATTCAATATTTGGTCCAAAAAATGCATGTAGTTCGATTTTATCCAAATCTTTTAATGTTGGTAAAGTTTTCCTAACATATTTTTCGCGCTGAATTGTTATTCTTTTATTTGTCCACTGCAAAATTATGTCGCAAAGTTCATCAGTGAATAGTAATTTCCAAACAGTGGGTCAGCTACGTTCCTTAATTGTGCCGCAGGGCGTAAGCCGGGTACCTTTACTACAATATTTTACTGCAAACGGTGACCTCTTTTGGAAGTTTGTGTAGAACACTTTAATCTATTTTTGCCGTAAAAATATTTGCTTCGATTAATACCTTCATTAGGGTCCTCCTCATTTCCCTCATTTATCCCTTCTCCATTTGGCTCCTCGTTCTGTTCTTCATTTTCCTCATCTTGCTCTTTATTGTGCTTATCACCCTCTATTTCATTTTCTTAAATTAAACGAAAAAAAATTATAATTTACTTTCAACAGCTGCAGCTGAACAAATTGATATTTACCTTCTTCAATTTCTGAATCACTCTCGTGTTCGCTAAATATTTCATGATTTTCTTCGCAGTTGTCAATGTCACTATAATCACTATCCGCTTCGTTATACCATTTTGTAAGGCATTCCTCGTATCCGGGATCACCAAGCCTGACATTTTTAGAAGTACTAGGTTGTTTAGCCATAATAATTAAATGTCACACAAAAAATAACACTACGAATAACATACGGCTAAAGTATATTAATATTTAACTAACACCACATATCTCAGACCACAAATTAACACTGATTGATCATTTATAGAATACAGGCGTGTTTAAATATAAGATAAAATTACATGGAGTGGGGATACTTAAATATGCGCAGTTTCCGTGATATCATATCACTGATATGACCATAACGAGTTTGGCATGCGTCTGTGAGACGGGTTGTTAGTAATTAAGGGTTAATGTCTGTCGGGCAAGCAGTTTGCGGTCGGACCGGGCTGTCGAGCAATGTTGCCAGACGTCAAACGGAGAATTATCGTCTTAACCTCTTACAATTATCGTACGTTATCGTACAAAACATAAACGATAATATTTAATATAGATTTGAAAACTTTTTGATATTTGAAAAAATATTATGGAATTTATTTAGCTTTATAATAAACAAAAGCATGCCATTAATTTACTCTTATAATAAAATGATAAAAACTATAAAAACAAAAAACTCTTATATTTCTTCAAAAACGATGTCGTCATCAGATTGCCCTCCATTTTCGTTTTCTTCTAGAATAGCTGTCCAATTTTGAGTAGTCTGGTAGAGTTTGGCAGACGTCATGTTTCTTAAAATTTTGTCGGTGGGTTTAAAATTAGAACAGCCTTGTTCTAGATGGACTTGCTGAGAAGATAACATATGTCCATTTAGCGTGTCTGTTATTATTATATTTTTTGATTTGGTTTTTATTAAATTAACTTTTGAAAATTGTCTTTCACAACTGGCACTTGAATGTGGCAGCGAAAGAACACATAAAACAAAATTTTACAAAATTTATAATAAAACTCAATTTCTGTTAAATCTGGTAAATCGTCGAAATTTTTTAATTTTTTCCATTGTTCGTCAATTTTTTGCAGTTGACTGGTGTTTTGGGGATCACAAATTTATGGTAAAGATTTCATTGCCCTCTTTTATATTCTGGATATTTAAAATAGAAAGTTTACTTAGGACGGGATCTTCAAAATTATACCGTTTTTAAATTTCTAGACAAGCAGTAATTAAAAATTTACGACAGCGTTCGAGAAAGACAAGTTTAGTTGGCTGGTCTAAAGAATCAATTTTCTGAAGAACTCCAATACCCAGATACATGTTTGCAATTGGAAGAAAGTGTGTGCCATCACTTGGGTCAATTTTGCCAATATCCGTTTTATTTATATAATTTTGTTCCTTAAAAGCTGATAAAAAATCCTTGTAACACAAAACCATCTTTTTGTGTAAATGTATTTCACTTTAAAAGTATTTGTTTAATTCGACAAATTTGGGAAGTACCCATTCAAAAAAAATATAGGTTTCTTGGACATTTTTCTATTTAAATTGCTTCACGGATGGTACATTTGGTTCTGTATTCGATGCTAGCCAAGACCCTTGTTTTTTCAAAGTCAATTTGCCAATATCGCCAGCAATAGCCAACTTATTTATGGAAGACATAAAAATACGAGCAATCCAAACGGCAACATTAAAACCATAACTTTGATTTGGCTACGGTACGTAGAAGACACATTTATCATCTGGACCCACGGAGAAGCGGAACTGAAGAAATTCCTGGACCATCTCAACGGAATTCCCAAAAAGATTAAGTTCACAATGAAAACCGAGAAATAATGGCAAACTACGGCACACGCCCAGTCTCACCACCACCCGTCACAACTGCAGTTAGTCATTAAGACATTTGTCACGCGATCCGAAGGGCTGGCGGATGATGACCAAAAGAAACAAGAAGACCTGAAAATGCAAATGACGCTGCAGCAAAACGGATTCTTCTAAACCATCATCAAAAAGGCTCTTAGACCACGACACCGGTTAAAGGACGAAAACAACAAACCAACTTCACTTAACATGTTAATAAGATTAGTGAGCACTAAATAATATTATTTAATTTTAGATTGCAGTAGTTCTAGTCACCAAAATTATGAAAAGAATTTCTCAAATGAAAGATTGTGCTGAGATTTGCTTTGTTGACTCTAGTGGTGGAGTAGATAAGGAAGGTACACGATTTTTTATTTGTC